CACCAGCGCCAGGTCGCCCGTGGGCATGGGCTGGAGCCGGTGGGCTGGCCCCTGGCGCAGCCGCCCCCGGTACTTGTCCCCAGCCATGAAGTACAAGATGGGGTCAAGGCAGCTGTTGATGCTGGCCAGGGGCCGGGTGATTTTGTAGGTGAGGTTGATGACGTTGAGGGTCTGGCAGTGGGCTTGGACGTAGCGGGAGGTGTAGTAGATGGTCCGGGTGATGTGGAAGGGCACGAAGCAGACGGCGAAGACGGTGAGCACGATGATGATCATCTTGATGGAGCGCTTCTTGTAGGAGGGCATCCGAGGGCCGGGGCTGGAGAAGCTGGACTTGCCGAGTCTCTTGGCCATCAGGCAGTAGCACAGGACAATCACCAGGAAGGGGACCCCAAAGAGGAGGGCCATGACGGAGGAGCTGTAGTGCACGTAATGGTCGAACTCCTCGGGCTTGGTGGTGTCGTGGCAAAGGGTGCTGTTGCCCTTGGAGCTGGTGGTGACGAAGATGAGGTTGGGGATGAGGCAGACGGCGACGACAAGCCAGGCGCCCACGCAAATGACGCGGGCTTGCTTGGTCTTCACCCACTTCAGGGAGCGGATGGGGTGGCAGATGCCCACGTAGCGGTGGACGCTGATGCACGTCAGGAGGAGGATGCTGCTGTAGAGGTTAGCGTAGAAGAGGAAGCGCACGATCTTGCAGAGCCACTTTCCGAAGGGCCAGTTGTTGCGGTCGGCGTAGTAGTAGACCAGGGTGGGGAGGGAGAGGACGTAGAGCGTGTCGGAGACGGCCAGGTTGAACATGTAGGTGGTGGTGGCATTCCAGGGCCTCATCCTGGCGATGAACATCCACAGGGCCCAGGAGTTGAGGGGCAGCCCCACCACAAAGACGATGCTGTAGGAGATGGGCAGCAGGATGAACTTGAACTCCTCGTTGAAGACGCACTTCGCCTCTGCCACCGCCGTGGTGTTTGCTCCCGGCCAGGGCGTCGGTGTCCACAGGGCAACTGGGAACGTCCTCACCGAAGCGGCCATCTTCTGCGGGCCAGATCTAGGGGAGCGGTTAATAACAGCGCGTTAGTCGTCGATCCCGACCATTGTCAGGCACAAAGCGTGGACGGGGGCCAAAGATGCCAGATTTGCCCCCCACCCAGGAGCTCCGGCCGCTTTGAGGGTTCTCTGGTTTTTCTCAGCTGGCGCGTTCGGGCCTCGCGGGGAGCCGGGGTGGGGGACGGGGACCTGACGAATCCTCCCCTCCGCA